GCCTAAAATCATTATTAAAATATAGCCCATAAGTCGGTGCTGTTCGTAGTACTGTCCACTCAAATGGTATAATAATAAGCTGTAAGTTATTGAATAAAGTAGAGTCGGCCACAACTCTATGAGATTTTTTGCAAAAAAGTATGACCCAGTACTATACCAACCTATTATAATATAGTAATTATATTTTAGTTAAGTTTTTGTACGTAAACTAATATAATTTATGTGGTGTTTTATACAGAAAGTATTATAAGAGAGTTAAGTTTATTTTAAGAGAACTAACTATTAAACTATACAGTACATATAATTAATATAAATTTATAATAAATCTAGTTTTTCTACTCTTATTTTAATTTGTTAAAAGTTATCTTGAATATAATTTGATCAGAAACACAAAATAGATATTTTACAATTCTCGTTCAATAAGGAACTCAAATATGCATACAATATAAATTGTGATGACAAAACAAAAATGTTTACCATTTTGGTGTTCACTAATCAATAGCTTGACATCATTGAGGTACACCAGGGTGGTGGCGCACAGATGTATAAACAGTGCCATGACCGAGGTGAAGAATATAAAATTCTGGTTCTGGTAAAGTAGGGAATCGTTCTCCAATTCCTTAAGACAGGTACTGTTCCCGAGTCCGTCCGGATTGAAACAGGCGTCCGGCCTACCGATGTGCTCGTTAAACATGTAACACGTGGTCACCGCAAACCACACGTAATACGCCAATTGGACGCCAATTACTTTCCACTGCGAGGCATATATGCAGGCCATACACCTCATCATTATGTGCCACATGTCTACGGGTTTGTAGGATTTAGGCCTGAATTTTATGCCGTTTGGCCGCAGTTTATAGTCGGCGCCGCCGTCGCACCCGCTCAGCACCGACAGCTTCAGCACATCCCTGGTCTTGGATATGAGCACTCGGGTGTACTCGTGTTGAGTGCAGTCAATGGTCGCCAGTTTAAGTAACTGCTCGATCGGCACCTGGTTTTCGTCGCACACAATGTCTGAGTCGTCCAAATAGCTGGCTATACGGGCCGGTAGTCCGCTGTACACACAGTGGCCACCCCTCGCCAACACGTACACCGTGTCAAACGACATGACTATTTCGCTGTTTGGCTGATGTATACTCGTTATGATTGCCATCGAATGGGCTTTGCATAGGTTTCGCAGGCACTCCATTACCTGTAAATGTAGTTATTTTACAAATTAGTACTTATTGCTAATAAGTAATTAGATTAAATGTTTCATGAATAAGATATCAATAGCATAATGACAGTAAAAAATAAAGTTTTTTAGAAGTTAATAAGATATCTGACTTTAATGTACTGTACTTGTATGATTTTACATAAATAATAAGTAAATATTTGACTATAGATTTACACATTGTATACTAAAATATAATCTAGAAATAATTTTTATAACTTTTACATTAAATGATGATTTTTTATAATGAAAAAATAAAAATA